GGGGCTCTCCACAGGGAGCGGAGGCGGGGTCTGCGCCGGGCGGCCGTCCCTCGCCTCGGGGGGGACCGCCCCCCTCCGCGCCCTTCCGCCCCAGCCTGGGGTTGTTCTGGGGGCCACGGCGCCCAGGGTGTGGGAGGGAGAGAGAGAGGGGATGAGAGAGACCTGACGGCAATTTGAAGCTGCTCAGCTGTGGCCAAGAGTGGGCCTCAGACCTCTGCATCCACCAGCTGCCCTGAAGCTGAGGGGTAATGGTGGCCACCCACCCTTCTGTCAACAGTTGCTGTGTTACCGAGTCATCCCTGCCTAGTCCTTTTAATATTTTGTCGTGGACTTCATGTCTGTTCATTTGTCTAATCCCTTTTTGAACCTGCCAATACCCACTAAAACCCGAACCTGCTGATAACCCCAAAACTTGGCAAGGAACAAATTCCAGAAGTTCACTACCTGCTGCTTAAAAAAGCACTTTCTTAATTGTTTTTTAAACCACCTCCTAATCCCATCAAATGACCCTAAGCTCTAGCGTTGCAGGATTTGGTGAATACCACCTCTGCATTTACCTTACTTGTGGCCTTCACAGCAATTTAGAGACTGTCAGTACGTTTCCCTCCACCTTTGTCCTCTACAGTTTGGAGAGTTCCAAAATTTGGCCTCTGTAAAGCAAGTGCTCCGTTCCCTTGCTGATTTCAGTTGTCCTCCTCTCTACCGCTTACAACGTGGCTGCGCCTCGCTTGAGGTGCAGGGACGGCACGCACACCTCCCGGTGTGGGTGCACCAAGATTTCCTACAAACCCCTTGTTTCCAACGCCCTTCCTCACGATGCTCCCAGCTTTCTTGGTTTTTTGGCTGCCGCTGCCCATGGAGCCACCAGAAAGTGCTTGGACAACGACTGCGGGACCTCTTCTGCATTACGAGGGCTGGTTCTGAGTCGAGCATCATGTCAACTTTTCACTATTGGTTGGCACATCCTTTATCAGCCACCCCTCCAGCTTAGCCCTCTTCGTTTCCTGTTTACATCTCGCATGCCGGGTTTTTCTGGGCTTCCCTGCTTGCCTCACCACAGCCTCCTTAACTTTCTCATCCAGTCACGTGCAGGGGGGGAGGTTTGGGCCATGGTTTTCTACTTCTGTCAGACATTTTACCTGGGCTTCGAGTACAGGATTTTTTTTAAGCCTACTGGGTGTTTGTAGGCTTCTTGCTTTTGAACTGCTCATTTCAGGTTTTCTGGCATTTTTCCCCATTTTTGCATAGGTCTTTTTCTTAAAATTGAGTATCCGTTTGCTTTATTTGGCTCGCTCTCTTCTTACAGTGTTAAGCTTAATTATATTGCAGTTGCTACTATGGAGCAGCTCACCCACTAATAGCTCTTGAATTAGATCCTCTGCATGGCTGAAGACTAAATTCAGAACGGCATTTTTTTTTCTTGTGGTTTCTAGGGCCAGTTATTCTGGAAAGAAATCATTTATTGCATCCAGAAGTGTTATCTGTACATTTCACCCTGATGAGGCATTGACCCAGTCTGTATGTGGGTGGCTGAGCCCTCCCACTACATGTCCTAAATGTGCAGCTTCTCTAATCTCACTTAATGCAATTGTTGAAATGAATCAACACAGGGAAATGAGCAACCTCATGGCTCCGCACAGCTAAGACTAACTCGCATGAGGTTTTCTAGATCAAAATCAGCACCTGTATCGCCTGCAAAGTGCAGTATGTTGATTTCTGCTGTAATGTGGGCTGTGCGAGACACTTTTAAATTAAACCCTGAACTCGCCGTGAGTTCTCTTGGGTAAAAAGAGCTGTAGTGTTGAATTCCTCCCCATCAGATTACAGCCTGATATGCAGCTGCAATTTAGGCTAGCTGAAGTTTTCAAATCATCTTGCAGATAGAGTGCATTGCATCTTTCCGACAGGGAAGGAACAAAAGCATTCACTAGCTTATTTCATCAGACGATGCCATTTCAGTTCGGTCAGTTACTTGCACTAAAATCAGCTTGTCCCACAGTAGTATTTCAGAGGCTTGGGCTTCACAGCATTGTTGGTTTTTTGTGGTTTTTTTTTTGTTTGTTTGTTTTGGTTTTTTTTTCAAAAAGTCGTGAATGTCAATAATACTGAAAAAACTTCCTAAAATTCTGCTGTCCTGAGAGCAATTCAGCTCAGTGACTGAAGTCCACATCCTAGGTGAAGGAAGACGCATCTGATAAAAGATTGCCTATCTTCTGTCTCTCAAATTGTCTATCTGGATTGCTGCAAGGAGTGCCTTCAGTTCCCTGCGTGACCGGTTCCTCTCCCTCTTCCCTGACTCGCACGCATACGATGTCCCACCTCCCTCGTGGCCGTTCACAAAACCTATGTCCCCATCTGTTTAGCTGGGCAAGCAGGGCTATATACTCATTCTGTAGCTGGTTTGGAGTACATATGTGCTGGCCAGTAGCCACCTCTCGAAACAGTGAAGAGCTCAACTGGACCAGCTTTCAGGCACATTCAGGGCAGGAAATTGTTTATTTCTCTTTCTACCCAGACATGGAATTTCATGAAAGTTTTCACCATGGATTATCGCTGCAGCCTCCCTCCATCCTATCTCTGCTTTGTCAAATTTGGTGAAAATTAGCCTGAAGGTTCAAAAGTTATCAAGGAAAGGAGGAGGGGAACAGATGGACGAAAGAGGAGTTGACAGACAGCATGATCTCATAATCCCCGCTGGCATAGGAATTCAGGCTAGAATTGAAATATTTTAGGTCAGAACATTGTGCTCTTAGACTTCTCATTTTGAAAGAACAAGTGTCTAATGTGAAACAAATTTTCATGTGGTAGGCCATCGATCGGCTTTTAGGGCAGAGATTAAACAACAGCCTTCCCCTACAAACATGTTACAAACGTCTCCTTGACATTTCTTACAGCCCCTTTCCCCACCCAACCACAGCTCCGTGTGCTTCAGTGTTTGCTTTTGCAGCTCCTTATGGGTCAAGATTGTTTTTCTCTGATTCATTTTTTTCTTGGTTGTGTTCAGTCAAAACATAATTAAAGGCTTACCTTACCCTTTTTTTCCATTCTTGGAGCAG